TAGGGGGATGCTGGTCTTTTCTCCCAAGGAACAAGCAACAGGACAAGAGGACACTACTCAAGTTGCACCATGTTTAAGTTGGACACAAACATCTTCCCTGAAAGAGCTGTCAAGACCCCCAGGCTGCCCAGGGCAGTGGTGAGTCCCCACCCCTGGGGGGGTCACCAAGCCATGGAGATGTGGTGCTGAGGGACACGGTCAGTGGTGCCCTGGCCGTGCTGGGGAAGGGTTGCACTGAATGATCTGAAAGGTCTCTTCCAACCCAAAGGATCCTACGGTTCCATTCCACACCCCCACGGAGCTCTAGGGTGGGACGTGTCCCTGGAGCCCAGTCCCTGCCAGGGCCCCGAGCTTCAGCCCCACACATGGGGGGCTGGGGCAGGGAGGGGGGCAAGGCCTGGGCTGTGCCCTGCCCTGTGCCCAGCCCGGGGCTGCCTCTGGGCACCACTCCCCCCATTGTTTTGCTCGGGGGAGGCTGTGCCTGCCAAGGTTTACACAGAGAGCAGGGTTTGATCTCCCCGTGCTGGGAAAGGAGGATGCAGATGGCGTGAAGGGGACGTTTGCCACCAGATAAAGCCAGTGACTGAAGTGGCTGCCAGTTGCTTTCTGACTGCCCTCACCCCAGCCTTCTGCAAAACATGTTATTGCAGGTGCTGGGCAAGGAGAGCCCAAGGACCCCACGCCAGAGCTGCCCAGGGGAGGGCAGGAGGCAAACACAGGGCAGGTACTGCTGAGGAGGACCCAGACTAGCCAACAGGAGCCCCAACGGGCCCCGTTACAGCCAGGGATTCCCTGCAGGACAAGGTTCCTTTTGCTCCATGGGCAAAGCTCACCCCTGCAGATGCTGCCCCAGGCTGAGACCTGGCTCCACTGCCTCCAGGAGCACGGGGAGATGACAGGCAAGGGGTCTAGCCAAGCAAAGCTCCTGCTTACCAGGGCAGGCACCAACCAAAGAGGGACTATTACCCACAGATCAGCTGAGGACCTCCTAGAGAATGGCACCAGAAGGCAGGGGGGGCCCCCAGCCTCTGCACACCCAGCCCCCAGGCTGCAGACGTGCTCCTCCGGGCAGGACCCAGCACGAGAGCGGCTGGAGCATGCGTGTGGCTCTACCCAACACTGCAAAGCTGAGACACAACAACAACGAGCCAGGCTCAGCCCTGCCACCTCCAGTGCCCTGAATGCAGGGAGCAGCCCAGCCCAGAGCTGCTCTCAGCCCTCCCTGGCTGTGGAGCAGACGTGCTCCTGGTGGTGCCAGGTCCTTGGGTGGATGTTGCCCCTGCAGACCAGGGCGATGCTCTTTGCACCTTTCCCCGGGCTCCTCTCCCCTTGCTGGGTGTATGGCAAAGGGGTTTGGGGACAGGGCTCCCAGCCCTGCCCCTGGCCTGGCACCTTCAGAGCACTGGTCCGTGGCCAAAGGCAGCAGAGAGCCCGGAGGGGAAGTCCCTGGGAAACAGGCTCCAGACTACAATAGCTTTGAAATGGTGGAGTGCAGCCTCAGCTGGCGAAGCTGCCAGCCCTGGGAATATCCTGTGCACAGCACGGGCAGCTGC